CTCTTCTTTTGTATGATTTACAATATTAGTAAGAATTTCATGGATCTTTGGGAGAAATTCAGAATCAAATTGAGATATGATTTTATAAATTTGTTGAATTTCATCTCGTTGAGACCACATGTAGGTCATGTGGCATTTTTGGTTTGATACTTTTGGCATGTTATAAGAAAGTAAGAAAGACAGTTGATTTACTAATGTTACGATTTTAAAAAAAAAAATAAAAAAATAAAAAAATTCGCTTTATATAATTTTTGGCAAAATTCAAATTTATGGTAAGATAAACGATTTGTTATTATAATCACATTAAACATTATTTACTAATTTTATAATTATACAATTTACGCTTTCTTTTGGCGTTTATATGTATAGTAGTAAGATAATCGCAAGATCAAATAAAGACGAATACAATTCATGACAATTATAATCTTTTGGATATATGATCCTGAGTAAGAGATTACTTATTTAGCAAAACAAATGCGTTGATGTTTAAACGTTTTATTTAAAATAATTATTGTATTTTATTTAGCATTTTAAGCTGATTATAACGACTGACCGATCAAATAATCAAGGAAGACAATAAACGAACTATCTAATTATGAAAAAGACAATAAGCGAACTTAGTCAATAGTTTTAGTTCAGCTGACAAGGTAGGCAAATTTGACTAAACTCTGCTCGGCTTATAATATTACTATTTTACTTTGCTTATTAACAATTGAATATTTATTTCAAATGCGCAATATACGCATGAATAACGAGTTTTTGGTATCTAATTGAAGCATTATTTTGTTATCAAAATTTTATTATTACGGTTTGGGTAATTGGGTTTTTGTTCGAGTTTTAAGCACCAATTGATTGAATTTAAACTATCCCGGTTTGGATAATTGGCTTTTGCAGCATCAATTTTTTAAAATAATGAATTGGACTATTACGGTTTGGGTATTTGGGTTTTTGTTTGATCTTAAGCGTCAATTATTAAAACGCATGAATTAGACTATTACAGTTTAATAATTGGCCTTCGCTCGAATTATAAGTGTCGATTTTTTAAAATACATGAATTGAACTATTACGGTTTGGGTAATCGGCTTTTGTTCAAGCATTAATTTTTTAAAATACATGAATTAGACTATTACGGTTTGGGTAATTGGGTTTTTGTTTGGATTTTTAAGCATCAATCGATTAAAACACATGAATACTATTACGGTTTAGATAATTGGCCTTTGTTCGAATTTTAAGTATCCATTTTTTATACATGAATTAGACTATTACGGTTCGGGTAATTGGATTTTGTTTAAGCATATAAATTTTACAATAATCTTTGTAATTTTGTTCATTTATATGATTTTATTAACAATAAAAATTCTTGAAATCGCGTAACTAATGTTTATTATTGATTAAATAGAATGTTCTTGAAAGTGTATTGGCAAATTATAACATTGACAATAACAGTATTTCTATATAATAGCATCTAATTTTCTTTAAATTTATCATCCACATTTTTTTATCTCACAAACATGCCACCCAGGCGCTCTCATTCAAAACAGCTTAATATGAATAATTTAAAAGCACGCATTTATAATGAAAATAAAAAAAAACAACTCAGTGATGCATATAAAGAACATAGAAAACAAGTTCGTGAGTATATGAAAAGGAATGACCAAGTATCCGAATTAGAAAGTGTTAAACCGGAAATAAGAGATCAAGTATCCGAATTGAAAAGCGTTAAAACGGAAATAGGAAATCAAGCATCCGAATTGAAAAGCGTTAAAACGGAAATAGGTGATCAAGTGTTCGAATTGGAAAATATTAAAGTGGAAATGGGTGATCAAGCGTTCGAATTGGAAAGTATTAAAGTGGAAATGGGTGATCAAGCATCCGAATTGAAAAGCGTTAAACCGAAAATAAGGACTAAACATTGGAAAGTACTAAAATGGAAAACACCTGAATTGGAATAACGGTATTCGTGAGATAATTTGATCGGGTCAGGAAATCACTAAATTAAGTTAACCATGATGTTAATTAACAAATTGTGACGCAAATGATGCTAATTAATTAAAGGCAGAGGGTTGGGTAAGTAAGTAATGCAAAGTATCGATTTCAAAGGTAATAAAGGGGTTAACGAAGTATCGTGACACAGTAAAACGGTTATAAGTCAAAGCATCCTCTTTTATTAATACACTATAAAGCGGTTATAAGTAAAAGCAGTTTTCTTTTATTAATGACAAGCTAATACTTAACATCAAATTACTGGAAAATCGATTCTTGTTCTAATAAAATATCGAAGACTGAGATTAGCCATACATTTTTTCGATAATTTTTTTTTTTACGGCCATTTACCTGGCATCACATAGGGCTAGCGTAACATTTAATTAGTTGCAGGTATATATTGTTGGTAAATTATCACCTGCGTGATGGCGAATAAATAGCCGAAGAAATGTAATGTGACCTACAAATTCGTGTAACCAATATCGAAGCTATTTGAAATTAAATAAATTTTTAATAAAAATTTTTTTCAAAAAAATCGCTCTTTTAGTTTAAAATTTAAGGTCTTCTGAGCAATTGTGTAAAATTTTGAAAGTAGTT